TTTGGAAGTACATAGGCTGTTATTCACTTGAGATAACATTTGAAGATTCCTCTGACTGGTCTGCAGTGCTAGAGGTCTTAAACCTGCTCCTGCGGGCAATAAATAGTTCCTTTGAGGGTGGTGCGGGTTTGTCTGCAATAGTGGGAGCCAACAATGCAGGGTCACTCTCGTTCAAAGACACTTGTCTAGTGACAATGTCAACATCGTCTTTTCTAAGATGAAGGATCTTTGCCATCATGACAGGGATGTACTCGTAATTCTTCTTGACTTTCACAATTTTAGCATCCCATTCCTTTGTACGCTGGTTGTATTTTCTGGTAACTATTTGTTCCCCTGTCTTTGTCGTTGCCGGCTCTTGGTTCAAATGAAAATTCCAGTCTATGGCTGCAAGTTGTTTCCGGGCCTTGTAAACTTTGTAACTAAAACAATAACACAGCATTGTTCCGTCAGTCTTTGAAATTACAACATATTATTACTTTGATAGGTTTAGTATATTATGGGCAATGCATAAGCAGTCAAAATTAACATGTTTCATGAGCAGAACTGTGCATTTACATTATTTGTTTTTCCTTGCTTGTTTGTTTTTTTTAACATTCTATAACATCACTAAATTGTCTCCGAAATATCCTGTATTTTCATCGGTACAGGATGATATTGTCATTAATGTCCCAAATGTTTGAACCAACAGGAATGTGCTTATCACTGCAAATTGAATGAATGTGCCAAAAGAATTATTGAATGTAGAATGGCATCATTTATTTAGAAAGAAGTTTGCATCATAAGTGTAACAAACCTGTATGAACATCTTTTTGATGCATATGCCAGGGTAAGATTGTTTGCACACTCAATACTTCCTGTATGCCTAGAGCAAATAAACAATAAGGTCCATTAAATTCATCATTAATTTCTCCAAAAAAATAAATCCAAAGCAACATGCAAATGTAGCTGATAACCAGATAATTTGATTAAAAATGACTTTTGCAGATGGTTATTTCCTATTTTCTTGTCAACTTGGGTCAACAATATTTCCAAGTTTCACATAACAAAACCAGTGGTCTTCATCCGAGTTTCTTATGTCAACTGAACATTCACCGTATTTTTATCAATTTCTTTGTCAGTAACATTGATAAGAAGACTCCATCTTGTATTGGACGAATCAACATTACTTTCCTAATACATCACTGACATTACTGGATTCTACATCAAACACTGTCCATTTCACTTCAGTTTACCTGAATCTGACATACGATTTGAAACTTGCAAGGAGTTGAGGTTCCAGAATAATCTTTTGAAGTGCTTCAAAGTCTTTATCCCTGCGGTCAAACCATGGGAGTGTATGGTCTTCTAACTCATCATGGGCACATCTGCCTCCAACCCAGTCATGTTCGTCACACACATGATGTAAAAGTCCAATCCATGTATTCTAATAAAAAACAGAACCTTCATGTTTGAGATTCTCCAAAATCTTAATGATTAACAATTTACTGTAAGTGCATGTAATAAGTACATATCAACAGGTGTGAATGGGCAAAATGTTTATGTATACACCTATTTCAATTAAGGTTGCTTCAGATAAGAATGATGCATGATCCATGGGAGCAACCATCATTGAAATAGGTGTATACATTTAGATAGGAAATACTACATGTACAGACCTTCATGATTTCAACTGCTTCGTCATCACTGGTTGATGCAGTAGGTCTACAAGTGCTTGCACAGTGCCAAAAGTGTAGGATTATGTCATCTGCCCATGCCTTTATCTTGTCCATGTCTTTCAATTTCCCAACCTAAATGGATTAAGTCCACAGCAAGTAATAAGTATTCTTTCCTAGCTTTTGTTTCCTTTTTTGTTAAACTATCATAGAGTTAACTGTTTTGCTAACCATCAATAATTTCTACTTATATTTGTTTTAGAAGCTACAGTAAAATCCTGTTCTTCTGATTTTAGAAGATCTGACAAGTGAGTCATATGAAGTACTGTTTTTGTGGGGAATGATATTACCTTTGCCAGGCACTTCCTTATACTCTTTGACTTATGCCAAACATCCAAACTGTGGAATACTCCTTGAAACTCATCAGCTACAAGAAAAACCAAACAAAAAATTTGTTCATTTCTGGTTAAAATGGAAATTACCAGTAGTCAATGTTGGAGGCAACGCAAGTTATACCATTAAGTATAAGGCAACAAGTTCATGCGCTTTTCTTTCTTTTTTTATGCATGAGTACAGAGTAAAAAAGACTAAAATAATGAACAAAATTCAAGTGTATCAGTAAAGCAATATTGATACACCTGTTTAATTATTGCTTGCAGTATCTTACCAATCAACTTTTTTATTGTTGAAGAGGCATCAGTAACAATTTCAACTACATTCAATATTCCTCTCAGTCGCTGAAGGGCACTACGCAGGGCATTCTTTTCCATGTTCACTGATACCAAATTTACATGGCGTTTGTCATTCACTTCAACTTCCAGGATGTAACCACTGACCAACTCCATAAGAAAATAGCATAAATTTTTAGCTGTATGGCCAGGCGAGTCACATTGGCCATCGCCACAGACAATAACTTCTTTATCAAAAAATTCTTTGAGAATTTGCTCTCTCTGCCATGACCACCACTCATTTACAACAGGTATTAGGTATAATCGCTGCATCCTGAAGAATGTGGCATCTGAAAACAAGGACAGACCCATAAATCTTGCCATTTTTTCAATTTTGAAAAAACTGTTCCCTGATAGCAGGATTGCAGCAGCTACTTGAAGATTGTTAGCATACATAGCATTGACATCTTTAGATGATGAAAATCTCCCTTGGTGACCAGATGGGCAATTCCAGTTGACAATCAAAGTTGGGCCTATTGTGTGATGTTTGAAACTTGCTTCATTTGCACAGCCTGGATAGCGGCAGTATTTGAATAATTCCAGGAGAATATCTAACGAACAAATCACTTTGGTTTCCTTAACCAGTGATATTTCTTCCTCCAGGTGGGCCTGTTCTTCTAGCCTGCCAAGCTTGCGGTATTGCACTGGCACGGTAGTCGCAGGCATAGTAGTAGCAGGCACAGTACTCACAAGCACAGTTGTCCCAGGCACAGTGTTCACAGGCACAGTGGTCGCAGGCACGGTACTTGCAGGCACAGTAGTCACAGGCACAGTGGTCATGGGTACAGTAGATACAGGCAAGGTAGACAGGTTGGAAGCAGGAGGTGTGGGCAATGCAGGTGGCACTGTGCCATACACAGGCTTTTCATTTCTTAACTCACTATAATCATCTTCATCACTCATCTCTTCATCATCTTCCTCTATGTCAGACCTATGTCAGATAGTATAAAAATATTTTTTGACTCAAATGTCACATCTTATACCATATGAAGATCTTATCAAGTTTTAACCCGCCATCACAATGTGGCCAGTGTACTTATGTATTTTAGTAATAAGTATGTTATGTGTTTTATACACACTCACCACAATAAAGATAATAACATATTAAATTTAATAATAATTATTACACTGTATATTGCAACATACAATCATGTAAATGTTATTACTAGTGTACAAGTCCACCTTTCATAAACAGAAAAGTACCCCAAAATGAGGGAATCTTCATCAAGATCCTGCAAGGCCTTTTGTACACCATACATCACCCTTTCAAAAGAGACAGACCACTACTATTATTGGTTTTGTTTGGCATGTTCGTTGCAGGCAAGTTTCAAGAGTAAAGGTTCAACCAACACATGTATTTAGTTTACTAATAATTTTTACATTATACTTGCATTATTTTGACAGTTGGTATAATGCCCTTTCCTGTATTGGTGGTTACATCAAGGAGCCCAAAAGTGTGACCACTTTTGATTTATTCACAAATTTTACATGCAAATTTAATCCAATCAGAAGCCAGCTGGAAACTGTCCTCGACCTCTGATCGGTTTATGTCTGCATGAAAGACATGGGGTTCCTTGTTGTAAATGGGACAAATTTTAACATAAAATAAGAAAGTCAGGGTCTCGGGTAAAATAAACGGTAAGATTTCCATACAACCCCATATATTTATTACACATGCGGCAATGATGATTTCATACCATTTGCACACAAATAGTTAATATAAAAAGAGTCAAAACATGAATGCATGAATGAAAACTTTATTTAAGTGTCTATGTTTTTAGCTATAAGCTAATGGGGGACACAATGCAAGGGGTTGCACATAAATCGTACCAATATTAATATAACAAACAAAAATAATAAAGAATATGAATATTTCTATATTAAACGAATGATATGAATAACCAGAATGAAACAATACATACTGTGGATTTATTTCTGTACTGTCACTTTCGCTGTCTGAAGAGTCAGTGTGGATGGACTCACTTGCATCCTGGTACTTGTCTGCATCAGGTATCGTTATGACTGAGTCATTGAGAACTTGGTAGTCAACATTATTAACAGACAGCTCTGACGCAGTTACCCCTGCAATATCCACACTCATGTCACTAAAGAGGAGAAAAAATAAACAACTTTTAACCAAAAAGGCACAATTTCTTACAACTGATCTCAAATTATGCTACCCAGCCACTACATACATGTACACCTGTAATTCTTAGTTTCTTACATGTACCAGTTGTATAAAAAAACAATCTAAATCCACTCTGCAATCATAAAACTGCTATGTTTACAAAACGTACTGCTATAATCACTCACCTTAAATTATCTACACCTGCACTGACAACAGACATGTTAATATTCTCTGCATCTGCTGGTGTAGATGAAGCTTGCACAGGAGTGGAAGACAACATAGGCCCTTTATAAAAGAGGCAAATGTTTCAATTATAAATAGTGTAGATTCCGGGAATAAAGATGATTATAACAAGTTTTTTTCCATTTGATCTTACGGAACAGTACGTATAATGCAAAAACATTCAATCTCAAATCATGTCTCACCTTCAATATGGCGTCGTTTGTAGGAAGTGGGGTTCGAGACAGAAGTTGACGATGCCGTTCTTTTTCTGCATACGGTAGATGAAGTTTCTCTGGGTTACAAACCAAAAACATACATTAAGATCACATGTTAATCCAAAGAACACTGGCAAATGACAGATTCAACAGAATTTATTGGTCTTTACCTTCTTCTTCTCTCGAGCGATAGAAGATGGGCAGCAAACATAGAATCTGACGAGTATCCGCACTTGATCCTCGCAGAAACCCAAGACGAGTAAATTGTTCCATCTAACCAAACTCTTTTGTGGGTTTTCTGCCAAGTCTGAAGCTTCGTTGCTTTGCTGTTAAATATTTTCTTCCGACCGCTTCCTGATCGTCGACCGCCATGAGAGGACATTTTTCAAGCTCCGAAAAATGACCTCAAATAAGCCGATTAGAAACGAAAACCACACAGAAACCTAGTAGAAGGGCTATACATTGGTTACGAATACATAGCCGGGCAAACTGCTCAAGGATGTCTCAGATATATTAAGATGAACTTGGAATACCGGGCCGCTCCACAGACTTGAAAAGGTTGGGCCAACTTTTTCAAGATGATCGTCAGAATCCGGGCATGCGCAGTACGTGAAGTAGCTCCTTTAAGCAAGAGTACGATCAACTGAAACGTTCAGATCAGCAGTCAAGCACAAGAAATCACAGGGATCTGAGTAAGTCTAGCAGTATCTACAAGCTCGATCCAGTTCTCGTTCAGGGCCTTCTACGAGTTGAAGGTCGCCTAAATCGAGCACCGCTCAACGCTGACGTCAAGCACCCGATTATTCTACCTAAAGGTCATCACGTGGTCCAGCTTATTATCCAATACTACCACCACGTTTCTGGTCATTCAGGCATAGAATATACATTGTCTCTTATCCGTCAGAAGTACTGGATCATCAACGCAAGGTCGACTGTACGCAAAGTTCTGGAAAAGTGCTTTGCCTGCAGAAAACAACAAGCACCCACAGGTCAGCAAAAGACAGCACATTTACCTGAAGATCGAGTAACGCCCTCAAAACCGCCTTTCACCTACACGGGCGTTGACTGCTTTGGGCCTTTTGAAGTTCATTGCGGAAGATCTAAGGTAAAGAGATACGGCGTTATATTCATCTGTTTGGCTCTCCGTGCAGTACACATTGAAGTAGCAAACTCACTGGACACAGTCTCTATCAACGCCTTACGCAGATTTATTTCAAGGAGAGGTCAACCCAAAGAGATGCGTTCTGACAATGGAGGCAACTTCGTACGAGGCGAGAAAGAACTTCGCGATGCAGTCAATAGCTGGAATCAGTCTCAGATTCACGACTACCTTCTCCAGCGCAACATCAAGTGGACGTTTAACCCACCTGCTGGTTCTCATCATGGTGGAGCTTGGGAACGATGTATCCGCAAAGTGCGCAAGGTCTTAAGGGCCTTAACGAAAGAGCAAGTACTTGACGACGAGGGCCTAACAACTCTGATGTGTGAAGTCGAAGCCATTTAGTGAACGGGCGGCCCATCACTAAAGTTTCAGACGATTCCCGTGATTTGGAACCTTTGACACCCAACCATCTGCTTCTGCTGCGAGCGGGACCTTCCGTTCCCCCTGGTACCTTCTCTAAGCAAGACTGTTACAGCAAACGCCGCTGGCGCCAAGTACAGTACCTCGCAGATGTGTTTTGGCGACGCTGGGTACGTGAATATCTTCCCTCTCTTCAAGAACGGCAGAAATGGCACAAGCAGCAGAGGAATTTTGCAGTGGACGATGTTGTCTTAGTGCTTGATGAAAGCAAACCTCGTAGTTCCTGGCCACTTGCGCGGATCCTGGAAGTGTACCCCAACCGCCATGATGGTCTTGTGCGATCCGTTAAGTTGAAGACAAGCACTTCCGTACTTCACAGACCTGTTGACAAGTTAGTTCTACTGGAGACGGCAGCTTCACCAAGCAAGGATTAACATCAGCTATAACATTTTTTATCATTAGTATGGGCATTTTAACGTTTAATTAGTAATGCATGTTTAGTCTTAGTTTTTATACCCATTGCCGTGTTTCAAACCCTACTTGTTATAGTTCATTATAAAGGCTTTCCCCTAGTTCAGCCTTTAAGGGGCCGGAATGTCGGTTTTGAAACGTGATTTCTTTTCGTTATCCCTTATTGGTGTACGAACGTGCTTACAGTAGTTATTATAAATCGATTATTGCCTACATAAATGATGATTTTTATTGATAAGCCCACGGCTACTTTCCCAACCCTTTTTTGTTATGTCCGCCTGGGAAATACGTAATAATTTCTAGATCGTTTACAAGCGCGTTTTCTTTATTACAAATTTAACGTTTTCATCTTAGTTAGCTCAGTTCTAGTGTAGACTTCATGGTGTAACTTCTGTCAGCCATTGGGGCTTCATTTCTATCTACACTCGTGCTCATCAACTATCAAGTTCAGGTAAGCTTTTGATTTAAGATAGCACTGGTGTGTGTGTAAACCAAAGTGAGTATAGTTTTCCTTTTCTTCTTAGTTTTTTCAGTATCGATTTCATCATAGGAATTATTGGGCTTAGTTTTGGTTATCAATTTGCAACATCGTTTTTTTTGTAATCTTTTCTATTTATGCGAGGAATCTATTTAGTCTTGTCATCACTGAGCTACAGTGGTTTTAAGGGTTCTTATGCGCTACTCTTCAACATGAGTATGCTGAGTGATTGATACCAGCAGTTTTATCGTTGTATTACTTAAATCACTTTATAGGCTAATTTAGTGTATTTTCTAGTGTTATTTAGTTCTCATTCGCTATTTGGTATCATCGGTTTTTAGTCATATATATTTGCACTCTATGTATTTTTAGCTAAGTTTTCGTTCAATTTTATCGTTTTCAGTTCCAACCGACTTTGTACGACTTGTACTGAGTTCACAACTTAAGGACCTTTTGTCTTGTCAATCGACCCGTCGATTCTTCTGTATCAAGTTGTGACCTCTGTGCTAGGAACATTGATCTCTGGTTCAATAAATCTGTTCATGTTACTTCCTTCACTTCTCGTCGAGTTCATTTTATGTTGCGCACTGTGTTAAGTGGTTTACTTGGATTTTTGGTTCTGGTATTCTGTCCTTGTAAATTACATTTTGAAGGCATTACACGACCACTACTTAACTCAAATTCAACGCAAGCCCATGCGTGGCACTAGTGTTTTAGACCTAGTTATCACCAATTTTCCAGACCAAACAAGCATGTCTGAAGTCCTAGAAATAGACAAAGCAGGTTTGTTCATGGTTCCGTCTTCGAGTTCCACACCTTAGTTAAGGCCCCTGTCAAGACACACCGCTCTGTGTATGATTATGCAAAAAGAGACTTTGACGGCCTTAGAAACGCTTTGTGTTCAGATAATCTGACAGGTGTGGTGGGTAAGGGCGACCTTGAAAGCTGTGGGCAGACCTGGAAAGACCTGTGTCTTGCTGCGGCGAAAGACAGTATTCCAACCAAGGAATTAAACCCCGTGCCCTGGCTCACAGGTGCCGTAATCAATCTTATCAAGAAAAAAGGAAACCGCTCGCAGGAAACTGCACACGTCGGGGTCACTAAAAGTCAAATTTAAAACTCTGCGTTCACAAGTAAAGTGCGCGATCAGAGAAAGCAGTTACGACTTCTTTGAGTTTGCCAACATTGAGTTCAAGATTAATCCCAAGCATCTCTGGTCAGTATTAAAAACTCGCGTAAAGTTGCACAACATACCACAAAGTGTCTCCATGTCAACTGGTAACCTACATCCAACTGCTGACACCCCAGAAGAAATGCAGACATTTTTAATAACTTTCACTTCAGTGTTCTCTGTTCCTTAAGAGGACAAAGAGGATAACGGTGTAGGAAAACTCCCAGCCTCAGAACCTCCCTTTAGTGATATTAGAGACCTTACGATCTTACAACGGCGACGGCGACGTGGGACTTTTTTACTTCCGGTTACGTACTGCGCATGAGTAGATTTCTGAGATGGTGGTGTCCCTTCACGCGCAGACGTCTAGAAGCCTTGTTTGACGTTGTGCGAAAACGTGGAAATTAAAACCCAACTATGGCAAAGGAATCAAGTTAAAAACGAGACTTTGCGACTACATTTAAAGAATACTAGTTTGTATGAAATGTCCGAAACGAACAGAGCGTGGAGTCTTTTGTATACGACCACAAACTGAATGGAGAGAGATTTGACTTATTTTGCTTTGTATTTGTTTGTGATTGTACTTCACTCGCTATCACTGAGCTTTCTTATCACTTACTTTCCAACTCTTTTCTCGATCAAAAAAAGAGAACAATTAAGCTTACTTTTATTTTGGGTTTACTAGGAAATAGTAGAGAGATTTTGTCGGCAGCGGTACCAGATTCGACCGATGCAAAGTGTATAAATACTTTCATTGAGCTAATTTTCATTTATAATCGTAGATTAACCTTATTTTACAAGGAACTCACTGGCTGGGTTGAACAGTTATATCGACGAATTCCGACTACCGCAAATATTGCTATATTTATAACTGAATCAAAAACAAATACAAAACAGAGATGTTCACATAATTTCCACTGTTTCCTAATTAAATAAGAATTATTTTACAAAATCCAAACTTTATTGATTGCCCAATATTTTGCTCCAAATGCTACACATTTTTTAGTAATTCATGACTGTTTTCATTTGAAAGCGTCCTTCCAACCTTAATTGTATGTTTCCCTCATTCGGAAGGCAAAGGATAACCATCATGTATTCTCATGATCATTTCTTTATCTGTCAACAAGTTCAGCTAATTTATTGGAGGACTAAAGAAAACAAAGATATTGTCTAATATTATGATGATCTAGTTAATACCACCCAAAGCAAGTTATGTTATTTGTTTTAAAAATTTTGATCATGATTAGGACCAAGTGCTAGTAAATCTCAGATACAATGATAATTTTATTGTTAGCAAATTTTGCTGATATACTGATAGTTCTTCCTCATGAAGTAATTTTTGTTGCACTGCACTTTCAGTCAATCAATGAAATGGACTGAAGAACACGAATTGCTTATGTTGAGGGAATTGATGCTTTTGCAGCCATGGCTGCACAAGAAAGGAACTAGTGAGAGAGGAGATGATTGGGAAAAGCTGGCAGTATCCTTAAATGCTATTCCTTATCCCCAATTCCGTGTTACTCAACGGTCTGTTCGTGACCACTATTCAACAATGGAAAAGAGAAGAAGGAAAAAAGTCAGGGAAGAAGACAGAGCCTCAGGTATTGCCCCTGAAGAGGACAAGGAACTAGATCAACTGTTAGATGAAACCATTGAACTCTTTGATGAGTCTGACAAAATCACAGATCAAACAAAACAAAAGCAGGAAGAAGAAGCAAAGAAAGCAGAGGAAATGCGGAAGAGATCATTGGAAACTTTTAAAGATAGCGCCAAAAGGAATGCCGATGAACAGCAAGGAGCAAGACCGAAAAAGGGTAGAGCTAGTGGTGCAAGCACTCTGGCTTACCTGAAGGATAGGGCAGAAGTAGAAGCTACTTTAAAACGTGATGAATTGGAGATAAAAAGGCAAGAGTTAGCACTGCAAGCAAAGGAGCAGGAAGGAAGACAACAGCAGTTTGATATGATGAACAAGCAAACTAGAGATATTCAGCAGCTTCAGCAGCAGCAAATGCAGCAGTTTATGCAAATGAATGCAAACATGATGCAACAGCACCAACAACAAACCCTTGCACTTATGGAACTAATGAAAAAGTTTGCTGGGAAGTGATGCTGGTCAATCTCTGCAAGAGGTCATTTAAATGCACAAAGAGTTCACATTTTTATTAACTTGAACATTTTCAAGGAAGTTAAAAATTAAAGATTTATAATAATAATTACTTGTTTACATATATAGTTGTAAAGGAAATGTTGCTTAATTTTGCCAACCTTTGAAAGTCGCCGAATTGATGTTATGCCAGTATCAAAACTGGGGCTGAGCCTTTATCAAGGCAATAGGGCTTATCCAACTATAGAATTGCATTACTCTCTGTAAACATGCTCACCATTATTTGTTCTCATTTAATAGTTTGTTTTGGTGGCATTTATTTCACTTTAATTCCAATATGTTAGCCTTTCTCGATTGTATAATTTTTTTTTATTAAAAAGCAGTTCAATTTTCGAAAGGAAAAGTGTTATGTAACTTTTGTAAAACCTGTTTGGCAGACTTAGTGAAAATAATCCCTAATTTCTGGGGGAGAAACATCAAAGTAGTCTGATGTGGTGGATCCGTAACAACAAACACGAGCATTGTGAAGAAGGGCACATGTCACATACATTTTGCCAACAGCACTTAAACTTATTTTCAAGTTTTTTTTGAAGTCCAGAAATTTAAAATAATTTATTATATCACCAAAAATCCATTCAACAGAAACTCTGACTTCACTCATAGATTCATTCCATGCAGACTGTATGGGAGTTAGTCCAGCTCCTCGAAAAGGTCCTTGCAGATGTAGTCGAAGAGGATATGCCGGATCTCCATAAATACATAGGGGGTTCCCATTTGTGTCCACTGAAAATCGTTGCAATTGGTTTAACACTCCAGATCTAGCTAACATCCCACTGTCATGTCTCTTTCCCTCGACAGGCCCAAACAGGTTGGCAACAAGGCCACTGGGTGCTGCGATAGATTGAAACTTTATAGCATGGACTTTTTTGTGACCATTGTATAAGCACTTTTGGTTTTGTCCTGGTCGGCATATGGGCCTCACAGTACCGTCAACAAACCCCCAACAGTTGTCAAGAGCAGCTCCCCTGTTGTGAACTGCAACGGCAAACTCCTCTAAATGATCGGGTCTTAACCAATCCTGGTTCAAATCAGTGAGAAGGCGGTTCCATGTTTCATACATCTTGTTCATAACAGCATTTGAGATCATACACAATTGTGGTTCTGGCCTTCCAAATCTGGGTATCATGTCTACGTATCTACAGGGATAGGCAAATCTTTTAAGAAAAATGCACAATGCCTCAACCATGTCGACATTTACACCATTGTAGCAAACGATCCGATCCGGTAAAGTAAACACCTCTGCCAAGTTGTAAATGTCATTCTTGTAAAATCTAAACTCAGTTTTACGTTCATCATCGGTCATCTTGTCGAGATCGAAGCACTCGTAGTTAGTGTACGGTAAATCCGGATTTTTGGGCTTGTGTAAATCGTAGAGTAGCACGAATTCTTCAGCGTTAATCAAACAGGAAGGATGAGCCAGGAGAATACTGTCACGGAACTTTGGCATGGCTTTCTAAAAAACTTTCGTTGACTTAAACACGATAAACACAAATGACCGTCCTCAACGTTCTCGCTCGTAAAATTCGTAATCTCAATTTTGGCGGGAACGCCAACACGACGTGGCCCCGCTCGACCCAGACTTCTCACGTTGCCGTTGCCGTCGTCGTTGTTGGATCGTAAGGTCCCTATTGTGTTGCATGTCAGCGAAGTTGAGGCTGTCCTAAAATCACTAGACCCAAACAAAGCCACTAGTCCAGATGAGATCCCGGCTAGAATTCTAAAGGAAACCGCCACTACATTGCTCCATCACTGTGCAAGCTGTTCAGCAGGTCTCTAGGATAAGGCTGCATACCGTCTGAGTGGAAATTGGCCAATGTAGTGCCTGTCTATGAGATGGATGAAAAAGATCATGTTGAAAACTATAGGCCAATTTCCCTACTTTGCATTATTTCTAAAGTCCTCGAACGATTTGTCTTGAACAGCGTCAAGGATCGATTAGAAGATCTGATTGCGGTCTGTCAGCACGGGTTTCAGAGTGGACGTTCATGTGTCACAAATCTACTGGAGGCCCTAGATTACATCAGAGCTATTCTTGATAGAGCTGGTCAAGTAGATTGTGTGTATTTAGACATGTCCAAAGCCTTTGATAAGGTTAGACATGACCTCCTTATGGAAAAATTGAGGGATGCTGGCTTTGGGGGGAACCTGCTCACACGGTTTCACGTGTATCTCGGTGGCAGGCGCCTATGTGTCACCGTACTAGGCGCGACATCCTGTGACCTACCTGTCACCTCAGGAGTCCCACAGGGTTCAATACTAGGACCTGCTCTCCTCTTGTGAACAACCTTCCAGATTCTATCCTCAATAGCAAGGTGGCAATGTTTGTAGGTGACGCTAAAGTGTACAAGGAAGTGAAGTCTGAGGATGATGGCGCCACTCTCCAACAAGATCTGGACAATGTCTCCATGGTCCGCTGCCTCTGGCCTAGTCTTCAATGGTAAGAAATGCAAGCTTCAGACCATTACGAGGAAGCGCAAGCCCATCTGTATGAGCTACAAGGTTAATGGCAGTACCATCAAGTCCTGTGAGGAAGAGTGTGACCTTGGCGTCTCCTTAGACTGTGACTTGACTTGCCAGTGCATGTTTAAGACGAATTTTGTTGCCCTGCGTTGGAGACTCTCTATTATTGTTTTACTACCGATCGTACTGGGAGCCCATACCTTGCTAGCATAGCCAATATATGATCTTACAAACGTGAGATATAGTAATTTCCTATGGTCTGTAGTGAACGACATAACACTATTGTGGCGCAAAAATGCGAGCATCCTATTGGCCTTAGCTAAGATAGTGTTAATGTGAGTATCCCATGTGAGGTCCGGCGAGTGACTCCAAGGTCTTTTACATGAGTGACGTGTTTAAGTGAGTTGTTGTTCAACTTGTAATCGTAGTGAAATGGGTGGCGCTTACGTGTGACGGTTAGTACCTCACATTTAGAGGTGTTAAACTTTAGGTGCCAATTATCGCTCCAGCCATGCAAACTGTCCAGGTCCTTTTGGAGAGACTCACAATCTTGTAGACTTTCAATGACACTGGAACATTTTGAGTCATCAATTTTGAGTTATCAAATTTTGAGTTTACACACAATCCCTTCCTTTTTTGCCATTTCGTCTCAGTGATTACCCACAATACCCTTATAACCCCTTGTCATTTCTTAAACCAGGAGTGTTAAACTATCCTGGGAGATTGGGCTTGTTGTACTTTTCGCTTGCCCATATTGTTTGGTGGTGTCCCAGGATGGAATTGGAAGAATGCCTTGGACTACCTTATAACCTTATTCCTTTGCCTTTGTCTTGTGTGCAGTGCTGGGGCGGTAAGGAACGCTCCAGTTATTCTCTTGTCCTACCCCATGGAAGTGGAGCAATAAGTAAAGTTTGTGTTTTTGTTGTGGGCATGACCCGCAGTCGCTATAACCTGCCAAAGGGCTGTGTCCCCCCTTATTATGCCATCTTGTAGTTATTGTCTTATTTAGCCTGCATGTGTTATTTAGTTGTGTGACTCTCTTATGGGTATCTTAAATGGAACAGTCACATTAAACAACAATAACAAAACAGAGTAAAACAGGCAACTGCAGCAAATTTACTAAGCAGTAGAGGCCAGCAAATACTTTGATCAGAGCTGAGGGGCGTTAGATTAACCAACAAACTTTACACATAAACAGTCAACAAACAAGCAAACTTTAACACACTGGGCAAAATTTACCCCAAACAGTCAAGAAGCCAAGAAAATTTACAATGCAGTAACTTGTAGACAACAAATTAATTCAAAATGTAAGGAAGCTTTCAAGCACAAGCAGTCAAATAATGAACTTTAAGGTAGCCAGTACAATTGAAAATTCAGGGAACCAAAATATCTAAAAATAAGCAGCAAGCAGACCAAAAGGAACATAAACTCTGTTCCTCTAAGGTCTCTCCCAACTGAAAGTCGAACCACATGCCATTGAAAACAGTATTTTCACATTGAAGAGGATTGATGAGTTAAATGGCTCGCTACATTGACACAAATCATCTATTGTAGATAAAGTCATCCTTTTGAAGAAGGTACACTCCCTTGAGGCTGTTTAACATGAGCTCCAAAAGCTGTGCTATAAGTATGAGAGCAAAGCCCCTGAAATATAGCACACTGGTCAGTATGGGACACATTGCTGATGCAGTCCCTAATTGTAGCCTTAAAGATACAGTAAACTCCGGGAGGCCCAGTTTTGTCTTCATCCTCATGCTCACAAGCTGACTCTGTAACACTGCCATTTAAGCTTCTCCTTCCTCGTTCACCACTTTCACTTCACTGTGTTTAATACAAATAGCGCAGTCAACACTGTGAGGAACACGAATTGCACAGTCAACACTTCCCCTCCAAATAGTCCTTGTTCCTGCATTTTTTTCTTCCAGATGTTCTTTAAGTGCTGTGATAGGATGCATAGTTGATTCATTGAACTTAATATTTTAATTTCCATGCAGATGAGGCAAATGACTTGGAATGGGTTGAAAAGGTGGCTTCATTTCCAAATACTGTATAGCGGAATCTGTTATTATCACTTTCCTTAATTTCACCTTGCACCACTTCATCACCATTGTGTTAAAAATTAGTTATTTTCGGACATTAACAGTTTTGGCTACTCTGCATGATGAGCTTTGATGCGTGAAAAAATGTTATGCAAAGTAGCTGGCTGCACATTGAATGGCAGCCAGCTAATTTGCCTAAGTAATTCAAAGCCAGTGTCTGACACCTCTCGGTCTCTTGAGGTGTTAGCTGAACACCCGAGGACTTCAAGAAATTGTCCACAAAAGAGTAATTCAAGGTATCCTAATCTGAAATGAAAGTAACTGCAATTTCTGATAAAGCATTTTTTAATCTCCACAATACTTGTCAGTACTATGACCATTTAATTGAGAGAAAAACGATTACACATGTTAAACACTGTTCCTTTTCGTTTTGCGCCTGAGAACTTACCTTACTTACGAGTGCTATACGGTAATAAAAAAAGGGTGTCAAACATTTTTTCCAAGTCCAATGATATATACACATTTTCATTATCCAACTCTTCGAAAACTGCTCTTCCAAGACAAACTATAAAACTAAGATACACATACTATCACAGGTTGAATAATAAAACGGCTTAAAAGTTTTCCTAGCGCCTTGTTCAATCTTCAGCAGTTAGATATTGTGACTGATAATATGCTATGGATTAGTCCCGCCACTACGTGGAAGACATAAAATTTCTATGAAGCAGCTTCTTTTACTGTACCCAATACCAAATTCATCAAAGCCTTAACTAAATTAAAGGATATCAAATCATTACAAAGCCGTAATGCGTTTCAACAGAAAGAGACATGTGCTGTGTGATATGATTTTTTTTTTTTGGTAATCAGTTTATTTCATATTGTAATATTTTCTTTGTAGCTAAACGAAACAGTCCTGGCCAAATTTCCTCAATAACCAAATTAAAAGGCCACCAGATTACTGAGAAAGAAAAAGAGAATATGTGGGGACTGAATGAACTAAACAATGACACGTAAAGCCGCTTTCACTTCTGAGACTGACGGTCTTTTTGGAGCTTTTCAAATGCTTTTGAACTTCATAATTACATAAACGGATTTTATCATGAATGCTAGTGAGTACACGTCATTGTCTATTGAAGGTTTCCCTGTGCCATCGATAATTTCAAGGGCAATGTAACTGTTCTTGTATTGATCTTTCAAATATGATGGTTTAAGGACGGGATTCTTGGCTTTCCTGAGCGCTGCACTCTTGCCAAAGTCAATGATTACTGAGTGGAGACATTTGTCTTGACGCTTCTCTAAAACAACATTATTGGCTTTCAAATCGTTGTATGCAAATCCACATCCATGAATGTGCTTCAAAGTGTTCGCTGTATCATAGAGTATCCGATTCCATTCTTTCTTTTCGGAAACCTTTTCATTTTTTTGCTGCTTTGAAAACTCTAAGACTCTCTTCACCGTCCTCTTAACGTTCTGCTGACATAGCATAAAAGCGTCAGCAGCGTTTGCTTTCTAGGTTTCTAGGCTCGTTGGGGACACAAAACTTACTAGAATTGCTACAGTAATGCACCGCAGGCTATGAAACATGGATCATGCATTTTTCTTCTGCGAAGCAACGGTAATTGAAATAGGTGTATAACTTAGGAGGTAATTGTAATATAGATATTCAGTACTATGATGCTGTAAACTCGAGGTAGTGTAATTGCAAATATTATAATTTTGCATTGATTGTTATGTATACTGTGTCCTAATTGCAGTATTTTATAATCTCCGAGATAAAAGTTCCATTGTAACTACTGCATTACAGTGTTCTCTCTCTTTACTTTTTACTGTTTTCCGCACGCCATTTTTCCAGTAGTATTATATCAAGATAAGAATGTGTACCTTTTACGGTGTCTAAGTTGGCGACCTGAAGCGAATATTTCAAACCCCATCGTGGGTTATAACTTATGTGTTTGGTGCAATGTTATTCTTGATTTAAATTGTATTTTCTTCTTTTTCAAACATCATAGCCCAAGACAAATAAGGGAAATATAAATTAAACCAAGTATAAAATTGATCCACGACACAAAATTGAGCTGGAACATCTACGTGTACTAGATTGTGGGTTAAGTAACATGTTTGGTATCAGGTACATCGTAGGAAAGGTTAATTGTAAAAAAAGTGTGTTGTCACTTGTGTTTACTTACAATAATTCCAAATATTGACCTACCCAACTGTAAGTATTGTGTTGTGAAAAAATAAATGGTTGACCTTTTCAGTCACCACTGCTTATTATTAGCCATATCCTCATTGTGTTGGTCTAAATGGTAGAGCAGAAGGAAAAGAAATCACCATCTGTTCATGTGCTTCATTATAATTGAGAACCTGGATAACCAGGAAAACAATTGTTCACATCAGTGTTGACATCGTGAAGAAAATCGAACAAAAATGAAGTCAAGCAATTTTAAATTGATGAGCAATTGAAGCGTTTAGCTTTGTGGATTTGTATGACGCCAAAATAAGTTTAATGTTGTAAATTCCATGTGCCAAACTGTTGTAGGTATTTTTAGGTGAATAAGTTTTGAGGGCTTTTGACGAAGATTGTCTATGTAATATAGATCAATTATCCTTCAAATTATTCATCTGGTCTCGCTATTTCAGCTGGCCTAGGCCTCCCTTGGGTTGACCATTTGACATTAGGTATTTTTTGGTTGGACTGGAATTGATTGGCATATGAGTATTTCTAGTTAATGTTATGAAAGGGGTGGATCAGATTGTATCTTTATCTGTTTTTTTGCAAGGCTTTCATATCTTGGTGTTATGTTAGTGTGTGATTGATAATATGGATGCCGTGAACGTGGATGGAAGCACTTTCTGTTTTCAGGCAAGTCCAATGATTTTTAAAAAAGTTGGGAACTGCCTGAATTTCATAGGCTACTTGATTGTATGCTGTGGAATACTATACATCCCCCTAGTGTCAGGGCCCTTGCAGTTCTTCATTGTTACAGTTGGCTACTTTTCCAGAGTCTGCCCCTCTACTTCGAACATTTTGAAACCTTTGGAAGTTGCGGTTATGGTATTATACCAAGTGGGGTTTTTAATATAGAGGTGTGGTTAGATTTATCTTTGTAATATGTAGTACAGTACTCTAAGACGCCTGTAGTTTGCATTTCTGGTTTCTGAAGGATATCATTGGAGGTGAGTATATACTTGGCTTTTGCTTTCTGCTCCAGTTCATTCTTTCACATTAACAACTATTGCACGTGGTTAGGCAATTGCAAGAACTCGTGTTGAAAAGGTGTGAAAAAATTTTGGGTTAATTTTCTGTCTTAACTATATCTGGCGTATAGTTTTGTACTTATCTAAGGTTACCTAAGATTATAGTCACAGGGTTGTTCTTTAAAAGTCTCTCTGATCCTTTTCATAATGATTATGTTCTAGTTTTTGTTGGACATAAAATCTCATGGTTGTCACTTGGTAGATCTATACACATCATTGACTTTAAGTTTACCTGCTGGTCTATGGTTCTTTGATTTATGTTGTCCTTTCCCTGTTCCACATTTTATGGATGGGTTACTACTGGTGTCTGTTTCATTTTTAATTGCAAATCCAGTACTACATAGAGTGAACAGTATCATATGCTTAATTTAATGGTCTTTTTATTTGATAGAGCTTCATGTATGAAGAAATTGTTATTGAATAGATTAGTTGATTTTTTCGATTTGTGAAATTTACTGAGAATATAGGATAACTGGTTACCGGCCGCCATAACATAACCACTTCAATAAGCCTACCTTTAAACTGCACTACTGGAAATGAGGTGAGTTTGTTCCATGGGTCAATTGATTGTTGAATGTCAGATCGTTCAACTTAATAGTCATATCATTGCACTTAATAGTCGTATTGTTCTGGCATAAAATTAAGCTTAAAGATGTACAGGAGTTTTCAGCCACGACCAAAAATAATGCGCTTAATCTTTTATGGTTTTCAAACGAAAATCTTACCCATTAAAACTCTGGAACAATCCGGCCACAAATTGGAAAGACCACGCTTGGAGCGCTCTCTGACCAATGAACAATGTGACCTTAAAAGTCAAAAATGTGAAATTCTAAGGAATATCCTTGGAAGTCGGCCACAACATTTGACTTACATGTGCGTTTGCAATGATTTCAGTCAGCGGAATTTATTTGTTGATTGTATTTATATCAGCAAGTTGTAATTTTACCTCTTCTAGGTATGTTTTTAGTGCGACTGATGGCTGAACTGGTAGTTCCCAGTTTGACTTTACGTGAAAGGGGTGTTCTTTATCTTTTCCATGAAAGATATATTGCGGATGTATTTGTCTCGCGAAAGCGTTGAAATCTTTCAATAATTCTACTCTAACATGAACTGTGTTTGCTGGGGGCTGAACAGATCATGTTGCCTCTTACATCAGTAAAAGTACCACAGAAATTCTAATTCACAGTTTTGTTAGAGCGAAGTTGGACTTTGGTAATTCTCTTCTTTTTGGTGCCCAAAAAGGGGACATAGTTAAGTTGCAGTCCATGACATAGTTAAGTTGCAGTCCATTGAAAATGCGGCTTTTCGAATTATAGCCGGTGTCAAAAAACGAGATCACAGCACCGAGACTCTAAGAGATCTTCACTGGCTTCCTGTTAAGAAGAGAATTGTTTTTAAAATAATGTTAATAACTTTTAAAACATTGAATGACTCCGGTCCCCATTATCTTGAAGATATTTTAAAATTTTATCATCAATCAAGGACATTACAGTCATTAAGGGATCATTTATGCCTTGAAGAACCAAATTTTAACATAAAAACTTATGGCCAGTGAGCATTTTCCGTTGCTGCTCCCCGACTATGGAACAAGCTCCCCTTTGAAATTCGAGCTTGTTCTGATGTTAATCTTTTTAAATCTAAGTTGAAAACGTTTCTTTGTAAAAAGGTATAAGACATTTAGTTTCATCATATTTCTTTTTGTTTTCTTTCCCTTTCAAGATGTGTATGCTATAAATTTCCCAATTTGTACAGTAGTGTTATGTTATATGTAAGCTTGTGATTAATGATATTCTTATGTCCTTTTTTACATTGTAAAGAGCTTAGAACAGCGATGTATAAGCGCTATATAAATTCTATTATTATTATTGTTATTATTATTTCTGCTCTCATGTCAATGATAGCCTTGATCCAACAAAAAATGCATTCTATTGTGTTCAATTAGACCCCTCTAGAGAGGATCCTAATCAGTCTTGGCTGTCTCCATCCTTTGAAAGCCAAATTCCAATTTCTTTTGTATTCACTTCATCTTTGTCCTCTGAAAAGAAGTTTTTAAGGTATGCGACAGGAGCACTATCCTCATTAATAGATGCACATGACATGGCAAGATGTGATTCACCAGATTTTGTAGGTAAGACATGCAAATCACGTAAAATTTAATTCCAGTGGCCAAGCATTGCCTTTTTGCCATACCATCCAAGGGCAGTTGCAGCGTTGCTTCCATTAATTTTTACTTTTCGAGAATTAAACCACTGAACACTCCTCTGTCTATAGAACCACTGCCCGAGGGTCATCATCATGAGTGGGAGATGTACGAATGGGTTGATGACATTTAAAAGTGTCGACACTCTTAGCTGTTAAAATACCCTACCATGTGTGCTTTATAGCTGGAGGGTTGTGTTTTGTTACTTTTCCTGAGGCATGCTGATCGTATGTGAACTTGCTGACCACAATAAAAGCACTCATGTTTTGCCAGCCACTCTGCTGCCCAGTGACCTACAGTCTCAGACAAAACGAGGGGGGACACTTACACTTGACACTTTTTTTTTTTCACTTCTGGCCCATCTCCTCATCCTGCCAATGTTGTTTATCATTTTAACCCACCAACTCTTGCACACCAACATTGGAAGGCCAAGGAGCCAACACAGTGTTCCAACAATGTTGACTGAGACTAGCTTGTGGCAACAAAAACAGGAGTCTGTTAGTTGTGCTGTGGATGATGTCTTTCCTGTGTGCTGATTTCGAAACTTTTTCCGCATTTGTCGAATTGCTGACTCATCCTCTTCATGTTTGTGATGTATGCTGGACACTAGGATTTGACACGGGCGGTATACACCGAATTCATAATGGCAGATGGCTCAGGTAAGCCTCGGTACGAGTACATGAAAACGAGGCGGGTGAGGATTCGAGCAGAAAAAAATACAGAAGAGCGTGTTGTGTAATTTAAAGCGTGGTTGTACAAAGTACCTTTTTTTACCATGAATGAAAATAAATCACCACATAATCGGTATTGCTGTGTGCCACTTTGTAATCAAAAAGGAACCACCGGTCCAAACGGCGAGAAAGTTGGATTTTTTAGCATTCCGACCGATACAAGCTTGAGGGCGCAATGGCTGCACGCGATTCGAAGAGATACAGGTAAACATTTCACGATTACAGGGAAGAGGATTTTTACAGTAGATAATTTCACCTTTGATGAAGATATTACATTTTATACTGGCTTCCCATCGTATGACGTTTTTATGGCTACGTACAATTACTTAAATCCGGGGCAAAATGGAGAAAACATTCGTTTTTGGCGCTCTGTTTCCAACGATGTTGACCCGGAATATTATGAAAGAGAACCTGAACTTGGCGTTGGACCAGGGAGGCCTAGAACTGTAAATGCTAAAGAGGAGTTCTTCCTGGTAATGTGTAGATTAAGACAGGGATTTCCAGAACGCCATCTGGGGCATTTATTCGATATATCTCAATCCACAGTTAGCCGAATTGTAATTTCCTGGGTAAATTTCATGTATTTAAGGTTTGGGCAGTTGAACATATGGCCATCCCGAAAAGTGGTGAATGATAACATGCCTCAAGACTTCAAAGGCAAGTATCCAAATACTAGGGCTATAATAGATTGCACTGAAATCAAGTGTCAGATGCCAAGTAGTTTACTCCTGAACAGTGAGCTATTTAGCTCTTACAAGAACCACACAACTCTTAAAGGATTGATTGCTATTTCTCCTGCTGGTCATATCTCCTTTATAAGTCAACTCTACACAGGCAGCATATCTGATAGGGAAATAACTGAGAGAAGTGGATTTCTGGACCTCTCTTTTGAAGCTAATGATTCTGTTATGGCTGACAAAGGATTCACTATTCAGGATCTTCTACCAGTTGGTGTGTCCCTTAACATCCCCCCATTTTTAGGCAGTTCAGCTCAGATGCCTGCTGAGGATGTTGTAAAAACACAAGAAATTGCATCTCTCAGAATTCATGTTGAGAGGGCAATCAACAAAATTAAGAATTTTCACATCTGGGATGGTGTAGTCCCTCTCAGTCTATTTGGTATTGTAAACCAGATGTGGACTGTTTGTGCACATCTGTGTAATGTTCAAGATCCTATTATATCATAGAGCAATGCATGAAACTACCCTTAATTACCTGAAAGTAAACTTTTGTTGCATACATGTAATGTTGTGTTAGAACAAAGCAGGGGCGTTGCTATAAAAAAGCATACATTATTGACAATTGAAAGAGAGGTGACCAGTCCACCTTTTAGGGATTATAATCTTGTAGGCCTTGCTTCATTATGCTGGCCCTTGTATTCTGAGACAGCAAAAGTGAGAAAATGCTGGAAATAATATGCCTTGAGTTTCTGACTAATATTATCCCAGAATTCTTGGTCAAATGTTATTCTTTGGATTGACATCCCTTTGAATGTATAGACAACAAAGTCACACCAAGCAGCACCAGTTATAGCCAATTGGCCTTGTACTTGAGCATAGTACTCATGATCAGTTTTTAAACGACACTGGTCACCTACTCGTCGACAGAAAAATTTGGGATCGGCACAGTCATCTAGTGGGGTGACGGCAGCTTTGCTTGATGGGCATTTGACTTCCAAAATTCCAAAAGGCTGACTGCAGCCAAAGTCAATGACTTTCCCATCAGGGGTAGCTGCAAAGACTGGCATTTCACTTGAAATTTCAAGTCCACACTTGAGCACCACCACTGGTGTTTTTCTTGCATTCATGAATTTTTGGTATTCATGAATGGCAGTTGCCTCATACTTTCTTCCATGTTCAGTGTGTCTACTTGTAAACACCTTGGGGTGCATAAGTTCTTTACAAAAAGAGTCATGATTTCTTTGCCTTCTAGAAATCAGATGGAACCTTGAGGCTGTGAACCTAAATTTTCTCTCTTCCCTCCATCTCTCACTGCCTACCTACTCTCTTGTTTCTACTTCCATTTTGTTAAGTTCATCTTCATCAACCTCAAGTGAAGATAGAAACATTCTCTCCTCTTCAGTGAGAGTGTCTGGATAAGAGCTAGGTTCATCGTCTTTAAGGGGGAATCTTGGATAGCTATATTGGCATTTGAATCAGGACTTCTTGCAACAGTACTTACATCAGTATACACAGGAAAGTTGGCCTCAGAATAAGATAACTGATAACTGTTTGTAGACCCAGCGGGGCTGTTTCCATATTTGGTCTGCACCATTTCACTGGGTGTATTTGAAGCAAGGGTAGCAATACCCATTTTAGGATTGATTGCTGCAATGGCTTTTTTAAAACTCTCTTCCTCTAAAATATCATGCTTTGTTATTTTGCGGGCCTCATAGAGTTGACAGGCAACAGCCTTGTCAGACTTCTCATCGTCGGGCTTAATTTTAGAGACAACTAAATCCATCAATGGTTGCAGATGAATTGAATCACCTCGACCTTTTTTATGCCAACTTTGTAACTTTGAGGTACATGCCAAAGTTGGATTTTCATCTAATTCATCCCTTAAGTCTTCAGTTGTTTTGCTCTCGAACAATGAGTATTTGCAAATTTTCAACATGAGAGCAAGTGTGTGGTTACAATAACCAACTTTCCCAGCAGCACATGTGCAAGTCGCATCCATCACTTGTCCAGATATAATGCAAAGGGCAACCTGAATAGTATGAGGAGCATCGTGTTTCTTATAGCTGTGATAGCACTTGCATTTAAAATAGAAATAATGTTCATCATCATTTGCCTCAATATCCTTTAAATATTCATCTTGAAGAAAGGTCCTGGCAGGTTTCAAACTTGTGGGAACAGAATGGTGTTCCACACTTCCCATCTTTTTACCTGAATTTTCTATATGCTTTTTCATTTCAGCTTCTGTAAACAATGGCAGCTTCTCTAGAGCTTTCCACCAACCAGTAGATGGGTATTTTACTCCGGCACTAGCCTTATTCTGGGATGAAGAATTGGGAAGCGAAATAGAGCATTCCCTGGCTTTTTGTTTCGTATAAATCTTATTTGGATCAGGGTCAACTATAAGTTGGTCTCTGCCACTTGCAATATACTCCTCAACTCTATAAGATAAGATACAACAAAACACAGCATTCAAATAATTTCAGTTTAATTTGCTAATATTAATATATGATGATATGTTTTTCCAGAGCAAATGAAATTTTGGTTCTTAGAATCTGCATTCGAGCGGGAAATAACAGAACATTCAATGTTTACAATAGGCGTACGTTGGAGAATTATTCGATAGAAACATACCGCTTTACGAGCTATGCTTTTACGTTCAGGCCTCTACACGAATCACCCCTACATCGTAGCCAAAACAATAGATCAGCTTTTTTCAACTCTGCTGGTTTCCTTCCCTCAAGACTAGCTCCAGGAATATCATTTTCCGTTAGTAGAAGTGGAGCTGTAAACGTGTTTGCTTGAGGTGCCGCCATATTGGAATTACAATCCTATCCTCACCCGCCTCGTTTTCATGTACTCGTACCGAGGCTTACCCAAACCGTCCGCCATCATGAATTCGGTGTATAATAGTTTGAGATGCTGGTCGAACAGATGGAGCTTGCGATGTATGTTGGATGCTAGGATATGGAACTACGACAAATAGTAGATGCCAAAACGTATACAAACTCAACAGAAATGAAGACGTCTGAATGTTGTGCTTTTCAACAGCAGTTTTTTGACCCTCCTTCATTTTTACTGTAATTCTGCTGTTAAAATTGTCAGGGCCATAATTGGCCAATTGAGCGTTACATCCATGCAGTGAACCCACTTTGTAAGCAAACAAACTCAATGATGCCAACAACTGTTCCGTATTTCTCAGTTCACAGTGAAGTGCACAGAGATTAATGGATGATAAATCCTCTTCAAGCAGGAATTCCAGGTTATCAGGCATGCTTTTGATAGTAGAAAAAAAGCAAGAGCAATTATTTTTAGTCGTGGAGGTTATCTCTCCTTAACTGATACTTAACAGTTTTATAGATTTCAAACTCGTGCATTTTACTTGACAGGTTTTCAGTCATTTATGACAGTGCTCCTACAACATTGATACAAAGACTTAAATTACACCTACAGTACAGGAAACCTGTGATATGTTTTCATGGGACAATAATAATTATATGCTCTGTAGAAAAAGAAGACAGGGTTAACTGCCAACATTTTATAGGCAGGGGCATAAACCAGCATGTTTGTCCAAATAAAGTTTCTTTTGTTTTCCTTTTCCATGCAGTAGATTTTCCCCGTTTACAAAAGGCAAGGCCTAATTGGCAAAATATTATTGCTACAATGAGGTCTATATAAAAAGTTGGTCTTTTATAGGAAACATACTTATTAAGCTCTAATGCTGGGGTGAAGAAGTTCATTGATTAAACTGGGGAATTTACTTTGTTGAATGGAGGTTAACAGTATTGAGATACCCTTGTTTTGAATGCCTTTTACAAGGTACTGTGAATTCAAAGTGACAACTACAAATGCTGAAATTCATGAGTACTTAAGGGCTGCATGCCTTTGTCAACAAGTATCATAGGAGTGTTATTAGTAAACCAAAACTGTAACTAAATCTACCTTCCAAATATTGGCTTTGGACATGCTGAAGTGTTCCAAACAAACTTTATGCACGCCAAGATCACAATTACATTCCTAATAAAACAACAATAAAAATACAAAATATTGCATTAAAATATTGCCAATTAATTTGTTCATGACAGCATAAGAGTTCTCAATCGGCCAGTGTAGAAAATACATGATATAAATCCAGAAACGTATTTATTTGATTAAAAGGCCAACATCATAAATAGGTAAATAAATAAGCAAATGAAATAAACAACTAAGTAAATAAAAAATAAAGTATATAAGTCCAAAAACTACAGTGAAATAGAAGAAAAATAAAGAAAAAATGAAAATACTGTATTCCATGTTTTTTTTATCAGGGCAGTCATCATGAATCACTATAGCTACATTTGTGGGCCATGCATCCTTGCTTTTACTCTTTGCTTTCATATCTTAGGCGTTTTAGCTAAGTTGCGTCTTAATGTGATGTTTATATGGGACAGGATGCGTGTTATTTTTCCCCGTAGAGATGGCTGTATTATGAGCATAACTTATTATTGGCAACAAGAGCCTGAAGCTTATTCAAGTCATACACCGAATGCAAATATGGCGGACCTCTTGGCCGGCCCGGGTCTAGTTGCGCGAAAGCGAGGCTAGTGAGGCCTCAAGAGTTTTGTTTTGACTGCGCGTCTTAGCGATTGAGTCGATCGATATGGTTTGCTTCGAGTTGTTGCATGCCAGAGGGCCACCAAAAAGAAGATTTTACTCTAGCTGGAATAGCCTTTACTTTCCCGAGATCGTTTCACAAAGAAAGTTAAGGATTCATGCGATTCGGCGCGGCGATGGGAAGCACTTAACAGCGAAAGTATGCTCGCTTCACTCGCTTTAGATGAGAGGACTCACGAAAGTATTTGAATGAAATAATTTTCACAAGAGATGGTGCTGTTCCAAGATGTTTGCATAGTCTGTTATTTATCCAACAAAAGGTAAACATTCTCGAGAACGGGAGCATCCGCTGTGGACTTTAAGATCTTTTAGATTTCACGCTGAAAACAGCTGCATTAAAATATAACAACAACAATAACTATCGCCTATTAATCCTACAAGCGTGGCCTGTGCAACTATGTAAGAACCAGAGAAAGCGACATATTTCACGAACAGTCCTTGACCAAAGTGCACTGAAAAAACTAACAGAGGAACGGTTGCCAACTAAGAAAGTAAGAAGAAGGAAAAAGGTTCTGGCAGAGAAAGAGCGTGCAAGTATTCGAGGATTGTATTTGACCTTGCGCGTGATCTCAGTTTAGCAACTTGTCGAATGGTTTCGAGATAAACTAACAGCGATTTTCCAAAAATTGCTTCTTTTATGGCACTGCTCAAACTCTTGAACACAGGATCGTGAAGACTGTGAAAACATTCGGCCTTGTTGTCTGTCGTTGTGTCGAGCCCTGAGAGCGCCTAAATATTGTTAGGTCGCAACGGCGGATTCACTCGTTCTCGAAGATAGAGCGGTTTTCACTTGACTGTCGAAAAGGGATTGGTTTTGGTTTTGGTTTTGGTTTTACTACGCCCTTTGGTTGGCTAGTGTATTTACTTTGGTTTTGGTTTTACGACAGTCAAGTGAAAACCGCTCTATTTACCTTTCCTTGGTAAAAGAACGGACAAAACAAACTTGAAACAGAACCATGAATCTTTCAGTTATTCACCCATTCTAATAGTTTCGTGAGCCATTCTTCTCTTCTGAAGTGAAGCGAGCACACTTTCGTTCTTTTCACTCCGTGATAGCAAAGTGCCTCCATTCGCCGCGCCGAATCGCTTCAATCCATTTCTTTCTCCGTAAAGAACCTTGGCAAAGCGCAGATAATCAACTTTCGTCTCTCCTGGAGTTAAATCTCCTCTTTGATGGCTCTTAAGCACGTAACAACTCGAAGGAAACCACATTGATCGACTGAATTGATAAGACGCACAGTCAAAACAAAACTCTTGAGGCCTCACTAGCCTCGCTTTCGCGCGGCTAGACCCGGGCCGACCGAGAGATCCGCCATATTTGCATTCGGTGTATTGTCCTGTTCTTTATGAAAACTGGTGTTGAAATTGGAATAACTGTTAACGTACGGGAAGACAATAACCCTGCCATCAAGCGTGAAGAATATAAAGTATTCCCGCATCTTTAGACAGCTACCTAATTGCTTTTTGTATATAAGGAGAGGATGAACCCGTTGTGGTAATGTTACATCTTTGTATATGGAAGTAAAGATTCGAAGGGATGTGATATTAGGAAGAATCTACCATTGGGATTGACAAACTAACCTGGCAGGGACAATTTTGTGGAGGTTAAGAGAAGGCTACCCAGTGGCACCTTTTTTGCCTGTGCCTGTCGATCCCTGGGTGAATCCTCATTGTAACTGGAGCAGGAATTCTGACGTTGGCTGCGGAAATATGGCATCATCCAGTATCCCCAGCCAAGTTGGTTTGGTCATTGTGTCCATAACAACCTTTCTGTAAAGACAGTGTTAAATAAAGTGTTCAATCTTTTCATTCTATTTCTACCTCCTCTCCATTATGAACATATTTGCAATTACATTATGCACGTAAGCTGCACATTTTAATCAGTTCAGGTTCCGTTTTATATGAGCTTGTGTTAAGTGAGTAGATATTTAATAACATGTCGGGATAGATATTATGCATTCCACTTACGAATTCTATTGACCAAATCCATTTCAACCTAACCTAATTCACAAGGAGGTTCTGGATGTTATGCCATCGCCTCCTGCCATCAAAAGCAGGTGACTTTCTCCAACACCCATTGCTTCTTCAATAATTTTAACAGAGGTAGACTTCCCCAGGATCATCACTTAGGCACTAGTTATCATAAATTTGAAGTGTTAACAAGGAACATTGATGATCTCTGCATAATAAATCGTGTTTACAAAGAGAAGTACATTTGAACCAAGAATTTTTTGGCTGTTTTGTGTTCAAACCTTTTTTGTCCGTCATTACAGTAATATATATATTATTCTCTATTTGTTGCTGTATTGTTATTCCCTGGTTCTTCAGATTGAACCTCTTCGTAGAAACATTTTGATCACAAAAGGCCTAGCATGCCGTTATAATATTATTGCCAAGGATGACTAACTTGACACCCTCATCTTTAAAGGAGAGGCGGCTAGTAAAATTTATAATCACCTCAGCTACAATGTTCTTAGCTAGCCATCTATTTTGCTTGCTGCGAATCTTTGGCCGAATCTTTGGCTGCAATTGTCTTTTGAAGTATAGTGGCCAATTCTGTGACAGAATATTCTGGAAAAGTGAACTTATATTTTATTCTGGATTTTAGGGTTTGAGTAGTTATGGAATTGGTATCTGTAGCGCATTTTAGTACCCCCCCTCAAACGGAATTAATCGGAAAAATGATGGAAATTAGAAATAATAAAATTCCACATTATGCAGAAAATTATAAAAAAGAATATCTTTTCATAAGAGGAATAAATAAAATTGAAATTTAAAAGTTTACGTCTTTTAATATAATTACTTATTAAAAGACGTCATGTCTAACCAATCGCTTAATGGTTTTCAGGGTTCTCAACCCTTTATAACAGATAATGAATATAAGAGTTTATCTCTTGAACAATTAAGATATATATTAAATCAAAAGAAAAAAACAATAAAGAAAAGTTATAAAGAATTAAGTGAAAAAGAAAAATTAATTAGAGATATAAGAAGACTTGATAAGCTTAATGAAAAAGTAAAAAAAGGAGTAGATATAAAGAAGAAATATAAGAAAAAGAAAGTTACCTCTAAAAAGAAAAAGATAAAAACATTTGATGAGTATTTTGAGGAATGTATAAAAAATAAAGAAATACCGAGAGATACTCCAGACTATTTAAGAAAAGCTCTTGATCAAGCAATGAGAGAATATGGACAAGGACTTATAAAAGAAAAATCATCTCTTGCAGGTTTTGCAAATAAATATATAATTGAAGGAATTTTTGGTCTTGGTCCAATTGATTTTTTTAATCGTATAAATGAAACTTTAGTTAATTTTTTTACTTATCATAGAAATATAAAATTTAAGTTAGTTTTAGTTTGCATGATGGAAAAACATGAAGTAGATAAAAATAACGGTCTTTTTAATATACAAGAAGATAAGGCTTATTTTAATTCACCAACATTTACTAATCTAGAATCAAGTAATGTTGAGGATTTAATTTTTTCAAGTAAAGAAAATATTTTAGCAAAAATGGAAATGTATTCAGAAAAAGCAAGTAATTGGGTTTTTAAAGAAGTTGTAAAATTCGAAATTCATACTGTTGAGTTTAACCCAACTAAGGGTTCATCTTATATTGATCTTCCTTCTTGGATAAAAAATAAAAAAGCAATTGTTAATATTAAAAATAAAGATAACAAATGCTTTCTTTGGTGTATACTTAGATATCTTCATCCAAGAGATAGAGATGAAGAAAGAATAAACGATTTAAAAAAGTATGAGTTTTCACTTAACACTAAAGGAATTACTTTTCCAATGAAAGTAAATAATATCACTCAATTTGAAAAACTTAATCCAGATATTCCAGAAATAAATGTTTTTTCTGAAGATGGTAAAATGATTATTTATCCTTTGAGAGAGGCAAAGAGAGATTGTAAAAATACTATTGATTTATTTTTGTACGAAGAAGATGGTGCCTCACATTATACTCTTATTAAAAATTTTCACAGGTTAGTAAGGTCTCAAAAAACTACAAGTCATAATGGTAAAATATTTATTTGTAAGAGATGTTTTAGTCATTTTACAAAGGAAGAATTATTAGATAATCATATTAAATATTGTAGTAATAATGCAACAGCGTTTGTAAAAATGCCTGAACCAAACACAATGCTATATTTCAAAAATTATTACAAAAAACTTCCTGTTCCTTTTGTAGTTTATGCAGATTTTGAATGCTTTACCAAACCAATGAATAGTTGCAGTCCTAATCCAAAAGACTCTTATAATTACAACTATCAAAAACATGAACCATCAGGATTTTGTTTTTATGTAAAGGGAATAGTAGATAAAAAAATTAAACCAATTATTTATACAAAAACTTCTGAAGATGAAGATATATCAAAAGTATTTGTAGAAAAACTTGCGGAAGTAACTAAAGGAATTTATAACGATTTTTATCAAAAACCAAAACCTCTTAGACTAACTCAGGAAGAACAAAAATCATTTGAGAAAGAAGTTATCTGCCACATTTGTAGTCGCAAATTAAAAAAAGATAAAGTTTGAGATCATTGCCACTTTACAGGTAATTATCGTGGAGCAGCACATAACAAATGTAATCTTATGTGTCGTAAACCAAAAGTATTACCAGTTATATTTCATAATCTTCAAGGATATGATGCTCATCTGTTTATAAAACAAATTGCTAGATTAAAAGGAGATTTAAACTGTATTCCATCTACAGAAGAAAAATATATTTCTTTTTCAAAAAATATTAAAGTTGGTGAGTATTATTGCTTAAAACTTGCAAAAATGTGCCCAATAAATTTTGAAATACGATTTTTAGATTCATTCAAGTTTCTTCAAACATCACTTGCCAATCTTGTTTCAAATTTATCAAAAGAAGATTTTTATAATACAAAGCATGTATTCAAGAAAAATGTAGATTTGCTAACTATGATTATGTTTCATCACTTGATAAATTATCAGAAACATGTTTACCACCCAAAGAGGAATTTTACTCCCAACTTTATGATGAAGATATTAGTGATGATGATTACCAACATGCTATTCGAGTCTGGAATACTTTTGAATGTAAAACAATAAGAGATTATCACAATCTTTATCTGAAATCTGATGTATTACTTCTAACAGATGTATTTGAAAACTTTAGGAAAACTTGTCTCAAACATTACAAATTAGATCCAGCTCATTATTACACTTCCCCAGGTTTAGCTTGGGATGCGTGTCTAAAAGAAACAGGTCAGCAATTAGAGTTACTACATGATTATGATATGTTAATGATGTTTGAACGTGGAATACGTGGAGGTATAACCCATATATCAAAAAGATATTCAGAAGCAAATAATAAATACATGAAAAATTATAATCCTTTAAAGGAGTCAACATTTATTCAATATTTAGATGCTAACAATCTTTATGGATGGGCGATGTCTCAAAATCTTCCAACACATGGATTTAAATGGATGAAAAATATTACAGTAGAAAAAGTAATGGATATTCTTGAAAAAGCAAATCATAGTATGTCGAATCTTGGAAGAAAAGGATATATATTTGAAGTTGATTTAGAGTATCCTGCACACCTATGGGAAAAACATAATGACTATCCTCTTGCACCTGAGAAGATAATTGTTAATGGTGTTGAAAAACTAATTTGTCATTTTAAAACACGAAAAAATTATGTTGTGCATTATCGAAATCTTAGACAGTATCTTGAGTTGGGTATGAGAATAACTGCTGTTCATAGAGGAATATCATTTTATCAGTCTTCTTGGATGGAGCCATATATAAGAAAAAATACAGAACTTCGAAAAACAGCAGCTAACAGTTTTGAGAAAGACTTTTTCAAACTAATGAACAACTCAGTTTTTGGAAAGACAATTGAAAACATAAGGAAGAGACAAAATATAGAACTTGTTGATAATCGTAAAAAAGCTGTCAAGCTAACAAGTAAACCCAACTTTGATAGAGTGACAATATTTGATAAAAATCTTATAGCAGTTCATATGAAGCGGACAGAAGTGTATTTTAACAAACCAGTGTATGTTGGTCAAGCAATTCTAGATTTATCAAAAACACTTATGTTTAATTTTCATTACACATATATTAAAGAGAAATATGGAAACAATGCAGAATTATTGTTTACAGATACGGATTCATTGATGTATCAAATTAAAACAAAAGATTTTTATCTTGATATATTTAATAATGTAAGAGATAAGTTTGATACTTCTGATTATCCTTCAAATCATAAATCTGGAATACCAACAGGAGTAAATAAAAAAGTGATTGGAATGTTTAAAGATGAAGTTGCAGGAAAACAGATAACACATTTTGTTGGATTGCGACCCAAACTTTATAGTTTTAAAATTGAGGAGGAAAATGAAGTAAGAAAGTGTAAAGGAATAAAGAAAAATATTGTAAAAAAGAAAATAGATTTTGATGACTATGTCAAATGTTTATTTTTAGGTAATAAAGAAATGAGATCTATGAAAATAATAAGAAGTGAAAAACATGATATATATTCAAAGGAAGTAAATAAAGTAGCGTTAAGTAATGAAGATGATAAAAGAAAAGTCCTTAAAGATAATATTTACACTTTGGCGTTTAGATAAAAAAATTTAAAAGTAAATAAAGTATAAATAATAAATGTCTTATACAGAAGAAGAAATAAAAAAATATCTGGGTATACTGAATAAATATAAAGTAGAAAGTAAGGGGATTAATAGGGGTTGTTCAAATTGTTCAAATACTGAATTTTTTACAATAGATTCTGGGTACAAAATTTGTGATGAATGTGGTACAGAAAACGGCCATGTATTAGGATTATTTGATGTAAAAGATTTGGATAGGTTACATTATAGAAAAAAGAGTATTTATCATAGGAAATACCACTATGAGAAAAAGGTAAATGAAATTTCTAAAAGAATAAACCTAAATGATGAAGAAAAATGTGAACTTTATGATAAACTAACAAAAATAGATAATCATATCATGGAAATACTAAACAAGCAATACTTTAGAAAGAGAATGATAGGTATTAATTATTTAACTAAAAAAATTTTAGAGGAGATGGGTTGTGAAAAGTATAAACTTATTGTACTTAAGATTAGTTCTCTAACTTTAGAGATTTATGAAAAATGGTGGAATTGTTATAAAGGCTTAAATAAATAAATATTTTTAATAAAATGAGTAATAGTGTTGCTAATACACCTAAAATTGAAGCAAAAGAATTGTTTTTACAAGTTCAAGAAGGAGAAAGATTTTTATTTGAATATTTTTTTGAAGTTAATAGTCCACCAGATGGAATATCTAAAGAAGATTACATAAAAGAATTAAAGAGTGAGTATTGGAAATTAAAAAGAGAAGAAGCAAGAAGATTGTTAAGAATGAAATAGTTATCTCCTTCTATTTGATTAAAGAAATAATTTTATATTTTTTAAAAATATAAAATTTAAAGATAATAATTAAATAAATAAAATGGCTTCTAATCCTAGTCAAATTTACTCAATAATATTTCAAAAAGAATATTATCCATGTAACAGATTTGAAATAGGAAATAATATAAATAAAAAGGTATATATTTGTCACAGTGATAAACGATTAAAAGAATTTTTAGTATCTTGTAAAGAAGATAAATCTAATTTAGTATATGATTATTTTAATTCTTATCCAGTTCCTAGAGTAATAGTACATGGAAAAGATTATGATAAAACATATAGATTTCATTACAATGAACCTAAAGTGGATGACAATAGATATAATTTTAATTCAGAAGAAATGGATAAAAAAGTAAAAAAAATAGCTAAAAGATATTTAGATGATGGTTATGGATCAATTAATATACTAAGTTTAGTTGGAAAATAATTTTATATTTTAAAAAATATAAAATTTAATCTTTTAGATAAGTATACTCAGTATCAAATACTCTAAAAATATCTAAAAATGATTCTTTTTTAAAATACAAATCACCATCAATTTCCTCTATATCTAAATTTAAATTATTAAGAGTATGATATATTCCTTCTGTATCAATACCATCATCTTTCATAGCATCTTTTACAAGTTTTGAAAAATATTCTTCATCTCTACTAGATATTAATTTATCATCAATGACTTTATATAAGAGTGGTTTAACTAATTCTTTTCTTTGTTCTTCTGTTATTTTAGATTGTCTTGGTAATGTGCCAATATGATTAGAAACAAGATTATTAAGGAATTTTGGTTTTTCTATTTTTATATCTATAAATCTACTGAGTATATACTCATCATTTAAAAAATCAAATACTTCTTTTAGTAATGTTATAGCAAGACGATCTACATCTTTTTTTCTAATAACTACTTCATCCATTTTATTTAATGATTATATTAAACCTTTATGAAAACACCAGTAAATTATTCCAGTAAGATAACCAAGTACTTCACATTTTTTGAAAGGTGAGTTGATTGCATATACACACCCTCTTCCAATGTCGTAGTGTTTCCAGAAAGCTTTAAAAGCGAGACTGAATATTAGATGGTTGGTAATGATACTTGAATCTGAATGTAGGTAGTGTCTTAATTCTATAAGTTTGTAAATAATTTTATCTATATCTAGTTTTTGTGTAAAATACTTTGCGTAGAGAAACTGGTAAACTAGACATGCTTTTACGTAGTTTTCTGGATAAACAGGAGTTTTATAAGTTGGAAAGTAAAGATTAACATAATTTACTATTGTAGTGATCATTTTATATTATGTTTAGAGTAAAAAAATTATTAAACTTTTTTTTATTACAAGGTAAAATGTTGGGGTACCCAAAATGGGTCCGTCAACAAAATAATTTTATATTATGTTTAGAGTAAAAAATAAAATTGAATTATATTATGTTTAAATAAATAGTTTTTAATATAAAATGGAGAAATACATATTGGAAAATGATAAAAATTTTTTTATTCATCCCATTTATAAAAAATATGCGTCAAATAAATATGGTGAAATTATGAATGTTAGATTAAGAAAAGCTATGAGAGGAAATATTTGTAACAGTGGTTATTTTAAATTTGGAATATATTTATCAAAAAATAAAATTATAAATTATTATTCACATAGATTTATTTATGAGTGTTTTTACGGAGTTATAGAAAAAAATAGATTTATTAATCATATCAATTTTATTAAAACAGATAATAGGTTGAAAAATTTGGAAGTAGTTACAAGAAGTGAAAATAATAAAAAATCAGCAATTAATAGAGATTATAGTTTTGTAAAGGATAATCATAAAAATAGAAAAAAAGTTAAGGGAATTAATTTGTTAACAAATGAAGAAGTTATTTACAATAGTTTATATTCAGTTTACAAATTATTATCTATTAATGCAGGTCAAGTTAAAATGATTTGTGAAGAGGGATTTAAATATTGTAAATCAGCCACTTCAAAAAAAGATGGTCAAAAATACACATTTGAATATTTAAAATAAATTTAATCCCTCTTTGATTAAATTTTGTTAATAAGTATTTCATAGAATTGAAAAAATAAATTAAAGAATATAAATTATTATATAAAATGG